GCCAGCGTCTGTCTTTCAATCCGAAAATTACGTGGGTCCTTAAACCAAGAGAGAATAGGCCTTTTTTAATCTATGTCTTTGATGAAATCAGCTAGCTACATTGGCACCTACCATCAGCTTGTACTGCAGTAAAGCACTGGCTTATGCTAAGTAAAAATCTGAATATATGCTTTTCTTTATAAACGATCTTAAGAAGTCCATTAACTCTAAACCGAACCACATTATTTAAACTTTTATTGTGCATTTACATCACGTACTCTTCATACTTTTAACGCTATAAATGTCGAATGCCCAGCCTTCTTTCTTCATATAAATATCTACATCAAACCTAAAAAAGCAATTTCTTTCGAAGCCTTAAAGTAAAAATAAATCCAACCAGGTTTCCTCGCAACAGGCGTATAACATTTTAATGCTTCGTATATAATATTTCAGAGTCTTAACGTCATTTTTACAACCCCTTTTACTGCTTGTGGATTTATAATATTGAATTTTATACAATAAACTACCAAAGAGATTTCATTTGCTTAAATAAATGTAGAAGTAAAAACTAAAAGTAACAATGCTATACATCTAGGGTCACAGAACACAATTACTCTGTACTCTAGGGTTTTCAAGCCTACTATATAACATACCTACTAAATTTTTAAGCTAAATCAGTACTTCACAATCTTCGGTTTCATCATAAGCCATGATGTGGCAAAGAGCGTGCCTTCTGAACGCGTTTTTTTCAAAGGCAGAGGTAGGAGCCACAATAACTCAAAGCCGAAACCGACTAAATGGAAGTAGACTATCAACTATCATAGACATTGTGTTTAAGTTCAACGGCGGGTAAAATTACTGAGTTTAAAGATTTTTAAATAAATTTATGATAAAACAATACTAAAACGTATATTTTAATTGATAATTTTATTTATTGATTTTTAACAGATAAGAAATTACATGAAAGATGAACGTTTGATACAACTAAAAGGACGTATTAGATTATATAGGCTTTAAAAAAAGAATAAACATCGATAACATATCGATATATCGGCGTTCCAGACTGATATTTAGATATATCGATATCGACTTAAATTGATCCCAGATGTGGAAGATCATGTATCTTTCCTGTTGGACCTTCTGCTGACCTCTCATCCGGACGGAAATCAGGTCTCCGTCGATGCCCCTCTTGGCTCTTCGGACTATTGTCTGATCCGGATTATGGTGGAACTTACGCTCCCATCCCAGTTGCGATCTGCAGCTTGCCGCCGTTTGGCACTATAGATCGGCTGATTGGGACGGGTTGCTTCTCGCCGGATGACCCCTCAGTTGTTGCTGATTCTGTCGCTGATGTGGTACTTCAGGGAATGGAATTATTTATTCCATCATCTGTGGTGCCTATAGGAGGGAGAACTCAGTCATGGTTTGGTCACTACTGTAAAATTTCATCACGCTATAAGCAGGAGTGCTACTGGGTCAGGACTGACGCATCAACGTCCCCGGATGTAAACACCAGCGCTCTTAAAAAAAAGTATAATTCCGCTTCCAGGTCCTTCAAAAGTGTCATTGCCAAGTCAAAGTCACAACACATCGGCAGAATTGGCGAGAAATTAGTTCACCTCCCTTCGGGAACACGTGTATTCTGGCCACTCGCCAAGGCTGTCCAAGGAAACTTCTGTCAGCCATCTCTGCCATCTCTGCACAGGGTATACGAGTCACTGGTCCATGCCACAAAGGAGAAAGCCGATCTGCTAGGCTCTCTCTTTGCTTGCAACTCGATGACGGGGGAACACACCGCCGACCATCCCGCGGTGTGAGTGCTCTATGCAGGAAGTGCTGTTTACACAGCGCACGGTGCGTAAAACTCTCCGCTCCCTGGACGTCAACAATTTGAGTGGGCCTGATGTAGTTCCACCTATTGTGCTGAAAACATGTGCTCCGGAGTTGGCACCGGTTTTAACACATCTTTTCCGATACTCCTACTCCCTAGGCGCAGTCCCGAACTCATGTGAGACAGCTTTGGTGCACCCAATCCCTAAAAAAGGTGACCACTCAGATCCGTCCAACTACAGGCCCATCGCTATCACCTTGTTCTCCAAAGTAATGGAAACTATTGTTAACTGCCAGCTCATGCGGTAACTTGAGGATCACCAGCTGATTACTGACCGCCAGTATGGTTTCCGTCGAGGTCACTCAGAATAGAATAGAATATTTTTTTAGAATAGAATATTTTTTATTCAATATACATTACATGTGTAATTCTTATTGAAAGTCATTTTTTACTTTACCACTGGTTCGAAAAAAACCCTCTGTCCTGGGAAGAACCAGCAAGAAACCCAGCGGGACTTTTTTTTTTAAATAAATTTTACAATATAAATGATTACAAACTATTTACAAAATTTATTTTAGAAACTGCTTGGAAGCGACCACCTCTTTCCCAGGGGTTATTATCAACCATGTATTAATTTATACTATAATAACCCTTTTTATACAGTTTCGGCTTAATAAAACATTTAAACTTGGTAATAGAGAGAACCTGTACACTTTCCGGGACCTTGTTGTAATAGCGTATACATTGCCCCAAAAATGAATTACTGACTCTGTGGAGTCGAGAAACTGGCATCACTAGCTTGTGTTTGTTCCTCTCCTTCCACTTGGTGATCTTCTAGGTTACCTAACTCATAGATGCGCAGTGGATTCCAAGTGGGGGCGTTGGCCGTTAGTTTGGACAAAACGGAGGCCTTCGATCGGGTTTGGCATAAAGCGCTTCTTTCGAAGCTCCCTTCCTATGGGCTTCCCGAGAAATTATGCAATTGGATCACCAGTTTTCTTGCAGATCGGAGCATCAAGGTCGTTGTAGACGGTGCATGCTCCGACTATCAGCCTATTAACGCTTGTGTTCCATAAGGCTGTGTGCTTTCACCATCGCTGTTTCTTCTGCATATCAATGATATGTTGCTAACTGATAACATACATTGCTATGCAGACGACACCACTGGTGATGCTTTATACACCGGCCGTGCCAATATTTATCGGGAAAACGTCACCGAGTACCGGAACAAACTTGTGTCTGAAGTCGAGACTTTGTTGAACAGAGTCGCGGACTGGGGGCGACTAAATCTAGTCCACTTTAATCCCCAGAAGACAAAAGTTTGCGCGTTTACCGCTAAAAAGAACCCCTTTGTCGCATCTCCTCAGTTTCAAGGCACTTCCCTTGTTGCCTCAGCCAGTATCGAAATTCTCGGTGTCGACATATCGAGTGATGTGCAGTTTCGTGGTCACTTGGAAGAAAATGCCAAACTGGCCTCGAAAAATCTTAGTGTGCTCAGCAGAGCGGGTCAGTATTTCATTCCGGCTCACCGCCTGCAACTTTACAAGGCGCAGGTTCGGCCTCACATGGAACTCTGTTCCTATCTCTGGGCTGGGGCTCCCCAGTGTCAGCTGACACTTGATCGTATCCAGCGCAGAGCGGCACAAATCGTTGACGACTGATTCCTTTTCAATCGGCTCGATTCTTTGGCGCTGCGAAGAGATGTTGCATCTCTTTGCGTATTTTATCGCATCTACCACGGGGAGTGCTCTGAGAAATTGGACAATTGTTCGGATTAATTCCAGCCGCTCAATTTCACCATCGCACATCGCGACAAAACTCACGATATCATCCATACCATCTGTATGATTGGCGGTCCACTACTGTGCGGTTTAGAAGAAGTTTTCTTCCTCGCACAACTTTCTTGTGGAATCGATTACCACCAGCGATTTTTCCGGACCGATACGACATAGGAACCTTCAAGAAAAGAGCCTACTCCTTTTTAAAAGGCCGGCAACGCATTCTCAATTCCCCTGGTGATGCAGTTGTTAATGGGTGGCGGTAGTTACTTACCATCAGTTGAGCTCGTTTGACCCTTCGCCTATAAAAAATGTAGATGGCGCTACTTATTACAAATCAATTTTACTGGAAAGAAAATATTCCTTTGATATAGAACACAAAAATGTAGGCTTTACATGTCTTAAAATAAGGATTGCAACATTTATTTGCTATAAAATTAAACTTTTATCTTATTTTGTGTTACACTCGTGTCTCGACTCGACTCTATGACTAGTACTTCATTTTTGTGATAAGTACTAGTGTTGCCTAGTCTAGCCGAGTCCAAGTCGACAAAAATTTGACGCAGAGTAGGTATTCAGTCTTAAAATGTCACTATTTACAATTACAAATATTGAAGAAAATGCTTTAATTTAAACTCACGTAGTCTTTAGTGTTATAGTATTCATCAGAACTGAAAATTCAAAATTGTATGCGTAGAAGTAGACTATAAAGGAATATAAAAATCTACTCAAGAAGCCAGTCGCAAAATCTACACTTTATTATTTTCTTATATAATATTCATACATATAATATCATCCTTTACAATCTCCTCCTTTCTGAGATAGCCGAGTTAGCAACTAGTCGAAAATCACAATTTTGGTCGCTCCGATTACTTCAGAGCTAGCCTAAATAACTAAAAAATGCCTAACTTGGCAACACTGCTAAATATATGCACTGTGTACCACTTCTTATTAGTTTGTGACTGTGTACTCCACACTACAAACTATTCAAATCATTCGGTCGGTATTCGACTCATTCAAAACATCAATCACAAGTTAAAAAGGTTCTGTCAATTGGTTGTGATTGGTCGTACCGTAACATTCAAAAACAAAAGAATGAATCATCAATACTTTTAAGTGTCCCGGTTGCTTATAAAGAACGAATCATTCACGATTGACACGTGTCTAATCTGTATCAAAGGTGGGTTTAATTAGTGTGAGTGCTTTTAACTTCTCCATTTATTACACTATACCAAACGTTTTATGTCATGGTCGAGATGGGCAGAGAACAAAATTCATCATTGGCTGATTTTTATGAAATTGGCCATAAAAATGCCATTAAAAATAACAATTCTACAGTGCAGCAATAATAATGCATATATAAAACAAATTGACATGCAAACGTTGTTTAATGTTTATAGATTAAAATCTATTTAGTAAAATAAAAATATTTTTCTATCGTTAAGAGGTTGCGGCATGCGGATTGGAAAGCGTCGCGGCTGCCCATAGGGATTCAATAATCCGTGTGCTGACTCGACTGCTTTCTGAAAACAAAAATGTTTCATGTATTATTAATGTTCTTGATAGATGCATATAGAGATATATGACAAAAGGTAGTTTTCCTAATAATCAAAAGCTAAGATTTTGACTTAATGAATTATTGAATTAAAAAAAAACTTTTCGTAACTTGTTCAGTGGGCTATGAATACAATCATACCTACAGAAGTGACTAACTATTAACAAGCCAAATATAGTAAGGATCAATAGAGACTCGGCGGAAATTCAAAAATACAGTACCTTATACGATTTGAATCTAAATATTTTTTTAAGAAAAATTAATAATTTTAATTATACCCACCAGAAGTGTAAGATTAGAGCTCTCGATTATGGCTAGTTACCGACCCATATCTCTCGCTACTATTGTGGCTAAGGTATTTGAACGTTAGATTCAAGTCAAAATTACACTTCAATTTAGTTTTCAACCAATTACTAAAAATATGGCTATTTTGCTTTAAAGTGGTAGTAAAATACTATGTTGATCGCGATGCTAGTGAATATGCCTGCTTCCTTGATTTAAGTCGCGCTTTCGATACGTTGAATCATGATCTACTATGGAAAAAGTTAAAATCTAATAACATTTCTGCTGGTATGATTGACCTGCTCACTTATTGGTGAAAGAGACAGATCAATAACGTTAAATGGGGTAACTCTTTGCCCGACGACTACTTCGTCTACTATCTTGCGAAGTAAAATGAGAGGCTTACCCCAATCAACTTCTTTAAGATCGATGTGAATGATTTGATCGTGAAGCTGAGCAGAACCCCGGTCGGAATTGGGCTTGGTAACCGTTATGTTAGCAACCTAAGTTAATCTGACGAAACAAAACATCAAAGGCATGCGGAAAAGTTTGTTAACGAACATAATTTAATTTATAATGCAAAAAAGACGGTAATGGTGAAAGGCGGAATAAGGCCCCACTAATTTACCTGAGGTGTGCGTGGCGGGACGACCTGTTAAATAGTTCAAAGGTTCAAATACCTCGGCCATATAGTGACAGCGGTCAGAAAAGATGATTGTGATATATAACGACAAATAAGTGCTCTGTCTATCTGTGGCAATATGATTGCCAGTAGGTTTGTTAAAGCTTCCAAAGAAGTTAAGACTATGCTATTCCAAACGTACTGTCTTTCTATACCTGACAGCTCTGGACTGAAAACACGAGGCGATCTTTAAATGGTATTCGTGTGTAATATAATAACATCTTTAGAATACTTGTAAGTCTCAAACGCTATTGCAGTGCTTCAGACTTGTTTGTCGAAGCACGAATTAATACATTTAATGCCATTTAAGGATTCAGAATCGTATCATTCATGTTGAGAGTTGGGTGGTGTAGAAACAAGATAATTAGTGAGTTTGCGGGTAGACTGCCGGTCACAGCCTTTTATCAAAAATGGCCAAGAAAGCTGTTTGGCGTAAAATGGGTGCCATGTGCCTGAAATAAAGACTTATTTTTATAAAAGTTGCTTACATAACATAATAAAAACTTTCACGCCTGTGAGGAGTAGGCAAAGACTACGGATTTCCATTTGACACGATCCTGATACACCTTTCTCACTTCTTTTATATCCGTATATCTGTTTGTTGGTTAAGCGTACTTTTAGCAGAGCCTATCTTCTACATATCGTCAATTTGGTCTATACACTTCTAAATCGTCCTTTTCTGACTCTGCCACTCACTTTGCAGCATAAATTTGCTTTGACACTCTTTTCATGCTCTTTTGAAGCATTATTTTCTAAAACTACTACACACCATCTCTCCCTTTCTAGCCCTAACATACATTTATTACGACCGCATTTTTATAGCATTAATACTACTCTCATGCTTCTTCTGTCACATCCAACTTTCACTAAGATAAATTAAGGTAGATACTAATATAGCATTGAGAATTAACATTCGTATCTTTTTTGACACAATCTGCTTTCCCAATATAGAGTAAATAGTTCTATTTACTGTACGTCATATATTTTAATTCTAAATACACAAAATTATAAACTTTCTCAACCAATTTTTTTTTCTCTCAAAAAGCCAGCACTTTCTGCTTACTTGCGTTTAATTTCATTTCCTTATATTTTAATGTTACTTTCCTTACATTAACTATCATTAATGTTATAACAACAAAATTTGTAAACTAAGTATAGAAGTATAATATGGTATAACTATTCTTCTTCACCAGCCTGTAAAAATCCACCATTGGACATGGGTCTTTCCCGTGTCCTGTGGGGAATTTGCTATAATCATCACACTTGGTATGTTCATTGTCACCCTCAGTACCTAACGTGTCGCACCTTTGGCGCTGCCTGTTGCCGGTCCGGGTATCTTAAGCATTTACGCCTGGCATAAACGATATGGGAAATTTTTAAAGAAATATAATTTAGTGCCTAAGTTATAAAACGCTTACTTTCTTCACAGGGAGACTTCTAGCTCGTACAAGCCACAACACGGACTCGGTGCAAGGCGGCGTGGTCAGCGAACCTTGGTAGCAGGCGTACTCTTTGAATGGTGGACTAAAGAAGCTAAGGGGAAGCGGGTCGACAGATGCGTTTAACGTGTTAACCTTCAGAACTTCATTAAGTATTTCCTTTATGCCCTGTTGTGTGTGGTCTGAGTACTGTAATTGAGAAAAGATTTATAAAGTTATTTGATTATAAAGCAATGAAAATTTATGATCAATTTAATCACTTGCAGAATAGTGATAGAATACCGAGTAACATATGATTTTGTGTTGAACGAAAACTCAGCCGATACCACAACTAAGGAATTAAAATTAAGCGTATTTTAGATACAAGGACTCATAATCCAAAAATCAGTTCATGCAAGTGCTGGTAATGAGACGAGGCTATCCATCTTAGACCTATGTATATTTATTGCATCCGTTATTTATGGGCCACAGCATTCACGGACGGACATCAGGCGGACTGCGTGTTCATTCGTCACACTAATATTTATCAAATTATATTATTGTGACGAATAAACTAATTAATTTATGTATAACATATAATTTAGGTTTGCGAAGTTACATTAAATTATAAAGTTTAATAATTTATTGTATTTACGTGAATACTACCACAGACAGACATGTATCTGTGTATCTATACAGATACACACGTTAAACATATAAGATTTTTCATCGGGGGGTTAAAAAGGCTGGAAAGCACCCAAATCGTCGGGAAGTTTAAATTAAACGCGATAAAAATCGTAAAACTATATTCATTTTGATATTTAATTTAAATTTTACTTATTAAATTGTGTAGTTAATTTAAAGAAAAGTTATACTTTTTAAAAAGAATTAAAATGAGCTAGTCCGCTAAATTGAAGTGTCACTTCTTCTTAGTTAAAATCGGATAGTATCGTGACGTGAGGTCGCCTTATCGCTTTTTAAATTAATTTAAAACATCGCAATAGAGTGAAATAAAATCTATCAAATATATTAGTATTATTACATATTATTAGCGCTATACTAGCGGATCTCGACAATAGCACCATCTACAGGGTCCAATTGTGAATCATTTAGATCATCCAGGGAATCACTCAAACACACGCAAACAAATTTCAACAAAATTGGTCCAGTCATTTTCGAGTGTTTGCAAGATTAACGGAGAGCAATTAATTTTGATGTATAGAAAAATATTTTTGTCAGTAGATAGATCTTTTTCATTTTTTTACCAGCACGTAAAAGTGCAGCTCTGCTTATCATGGACCCCATTATAGAGAGGATTCGCCATAAATGCGACGCATTTGCAGATGAAACGCAGCACCAAAAGTATCGCACCTTTGACGCTGCTCCCCGTCATTATTCTGGCTATTTTATGTCTCGTACAAAGGTGATGATTATATAACCATCCATCGAAAGCCATAATATCTTTCTGCAATTTCCAATTATCGTCACTTAAAGTACCGTACTCAAGGCGATAGATTGATTATCTTACGCCGCTATAATACGGCAAAAAAAGAGATTTCATAAAAGTTTTTGGAACGAAGTTCCTTATCGCACGGTACGAATTTGACGGACGGATTTTGACGGGCGAGAAAAAGTATAAGATTTTTCTGTCATGACCCCCTTTCTTTAATGCGAGCGATATGGAATAATATCCATTTCCCTCGCATATTTTCTTATCTTGCCATTAAAGAAATATTAAATGACACTTCATTTTAATAGACGCTAGTAATTCATTTATTTGTATTGGTTAATCAATAATATAATACGTTTATCAATAATAATATACTACGAAAAGAACTTCATTCCAACCGAGTGTTCCACCGCACTCACGCATGTTTATTTTCTTTTTTGCCAAGTGTGACAATTACTGCAACTCTTCAAAATATGACTAAGAATAGATTATCCATAACAACCTCTTAAGATACCTTATAAAGATTGACTACGCCAAGAAACGCCTGAGGATCACTCGGCGCCGCATCGAGGGCTTCCTTCAATGAATTATACTCAGCAGAAATATGGATCATTTGGCTTTCCATGGGAAATTGTAGTCCACCTATAGTGTGTTCTGACGGCCACATAAGGCTTAACGAATGAAAAATATAGCGTCGGCTGTGCGCTGCACCGCCGTACACAACTGGCCTTTGATTCTCATTCCATTGCCCGTAGAGGATCACTGAAAAACAAGTGTGCTGTAGTACTTTCAAGAGTATTAAATTTATAAAAAATTATTAGCGTTCAGCCACCGAGGAGTCTACTTCATCTGAGGATGCCTCGTGTAGAGGCGAAACACGTGTCGTATTATCGACGTTGGTATGTCTTTCCTAGTGTAGTGGTGTTATGAGTAGTGATGCTGGGATTAATGGTGACGGGGATAGTGCACACAATTGAGGGAGGACGGTGTCGGTGCTCTTCAAACTAGGTAAGATATATTTTATTTCATTACGCGGATATAAAGAAATTAATTTTTAACAACTTTATTTTATGGATTTTCGCAAAGTAACGCCAAATTCTATTAATTATTTAAAAGAGTTCTAATAATTATATTTTAAGTGCTATTCCATCGAACCAATTAGACTTCCCGCACGCATTCGCATTAAGACATCGTGTTCATTAAGATATGCGAAGATACGATACATAACATTGATATACATATATTCCAGTGTAATTGACGTCACTTGAGAACTATTATCTTGGCTAATAATGTTACTAGACCAAGCTATTTATACGACTGGCAGCAGTTAATAATCTTCAAATCTATAATACAGCCAAGCTTTAATATTCAACTTTTATGAATATATTAACTATGATTATGCTCAAAGTGTTTGCCGATCAAACTCTAAACTATTTATGTGCTATCGGCTACCTCCAGCGATTTATAGATTTATAGACATAGGGACCTTTAAGCAAAGAGCCTACTCGTTTTTAAAAGGTCGACCGACATTATGTTGAACGGTCAAACACCGGAACAGCTGCCGTACCCGCCAGTGGCGTTTAGTTGACATACTTCGAACATTTGGAACGCTTTCCGCGGAACGCACTGGTCGGCGCGGTCATTAACGGCGCGCGCGCCAGGAGCGCGTGATCGATACGCGGCTTTACACACGTGCACTATTACAGGAGATGCTTTTCAAAGTAGAAAAGACATATCATTTCTATTTACGCTAGATGGATATCCGCAAAATAACGTCTGATTATATTAATAATATAAAATTATTTGTCCACGAGCGCAATGTGTTGTTTTTTATTCGATCCTACATAGAAATTTAATGTAGTCACCGTGATCGAAACCGACCAAAAATATTAACGTACAATAATGTTATTTCATAATTACTATTTGTTTTACCTCGTTTTCCATCGTTGTGAATGGTTAGCTTTTGTGGGGCAATGTCATAATTGCTAAACATGAGCTGCCGGCCGCCTCGAGCCTGGATGAAACCTTTCACTGGCAAGTCCACGGGAGACTGTGAGCGGCCTTTGCAGTCCGGGAACAAATTACCCCATTCAGCCTGACCTGTTTAGTTTTTTTTAATGTTATTTAATTTATTACATCCCAGCTCCGCTTAAAGTTCTTTGTCTACGTCAAAACTATCAGTTATTGATTCTACTATTGTCATAAATCAACTAAATAAATATGAACTACTATAAATATAACTCAACTAAATATGAAAAGAATTTGTAAAATGAAAAAAATATTTGCTTACTGTCATAGTCCCAACTATCAAGGCTGGTTGTTGCTGTAACAAAATGCACGTGCAAATGACAATTAAATATGTATAGAAAAATTTATTTTAAAAAATTAAATTAAAAAAAAAAACCACTTACGTGTTGTTACAGAATTCTTCCCATCATTTTCATTTTTTTTCTTAGTATCCGTCAGGTCCTATCAAAATAAAATATTGTGAACAATTCTTAAGAATTTAAATAATTCCATTTTAAAACTGTTAGGTACGCCATTTTAAAAAAAATTGTGAGTCTGCGATGGAGAAACTTACAGATTGCCTTAATATGTTATATCAGATGCCTCGTATTTCAAGGAGAAATTTAGTACTCGTCTATCAGTTGGGAAGGCTCATTTCGTGAGTCCAGAGATGTGAATGAAAATTGAGAAGTTTGATCCAATCTATATATTAACACCTTCTGAATATAAACAGGCTTTTATTATGAGTACATAAAGACGATACAATTTACTATCTGGGGCTTCATCATTACTTACCGTCAGATGCGAAGCACTGGCCATAAAATAAGTTAAATAAAACATGTTTTTGATCGTGATCTAAGAATATCCACTAGCCCATATCGCGCGGTGACGTCATAAGAGGCGACAGAGATGGGCAGCAGCATCTTCTTGAAAACGACTACAAAAATAATTAAAAAAAACTGCGGTTGCCGACCCGCTTACCAAGCGAGGCAACTACGGTAAATATTCTCCTTGTGAATCCATCTATTGGGGAGGCCTACACTTAACCGTGGACTTTTGATATGCTTTAATATTATGTAATACTTATTTTAGGATAATTGCTATGAAAAATGAATAAAGCGGTCGTAACTATCGCGAGGAATCCTAGGCAGGACTGGAGCTCTACCATCAGGTTAAGATTCCCTACCTTATCACCTAAAAATTACATAAACAACTAAACTTACAGCGTTCCTAGACCGTCTTCCAGGCACAAAATATTTGATTTCAGGAAATGGCGTCGGTATATGGAAAACCCAAATAGTCTTAGGCTGAAAAAATAATTAATTTGCGCTTAAACGCTGAGCAGGAGAATCAATCACTCCATATTGTCCCAGGAGTGTCGTAAAGTCTTAAAGTGAAAAATGCGAAAAAATCTTATTGTTTCCGATACATAGTATAAGCATCTTTTTTTATAGGATAGGGTGACAAAGGAGCACACAGTCCACCTGATGGTAAGTGGTTGCTGTGGCCCATCGACATCTACATCTATCCTCGTTTGCAAATCAAAATGTAGATGCGTTGTCGCCCGTGAGGACTAAGATGGAATGCCTCTTTTCCAGTAAAAACGGTCTCCGGTTCTCTACACTCACCATACGAAACACAGCAGCGTTAAGCCGCTATTTTATGCTGATGTTCTGTGACAGCGTGGTCCTTCCCCGGTCGAGCCGACCCATTCGTGCTACAACTATACTACTAATATAGCTGCAGCATGGCTCTACCACTTATAATATCTCGTGTACGTTAGACGTAAAATGCCCAACCCGGCGACGAGCAGCACTATCAAAGATGCAAGACATCTGTCCAATCTTCCGTCGTCAATCCGCCTTCCAGATGTGAAGGTTATTATATACGAGTATATAATAATAATCATTACACTTTTAAGGGTCGATAGAAAAGGGAGAACAACTCGTGCCTATAATTTACTTATTATTTTTAAACGGATGCTCCATGAAGATATTCATCATCAAGCTATTCACAAATCCACTGTCAAACGTAGGCCAAAGCACGTTCCTAAACCACCTGTTGGTAGCCACTATCGAATCACTGTATTTTTATCAGGTATTAACATAACATGACTGCATTGCAACACACACTGGATTTACACTTTTGTTTTCAAGTTTTTGAAGAATACGTGAGATGATGTGTTCCGAATGCTGCACAGCCGAGTTGCATTCGTTTACCAATAGGTTTAATTGGTTAAAGCTGAACTTAAGTAATGGGACGTTTTGTCCAAGTATACACAATATTCAACAATTTCGAGAATAGTGTTCACTACAACCAACATGGATGTATTACTTTATCTACTACGTGGTAGAGCCATGCTGCAGCTATATTATGGTTGTAGCACGAATGGGTCGGCTTGAACGGGGAAGGACCACACTCTCACAGAAAACCAGCGTAAAATAGCAGCTTAACGCTGCTGTGTTTCGTATGGTGAGTGTAGAGAACCGGAGACCCTTTTTACTGGCAAAGAGGTATTCCATCTTAGTCCTCACGGGTGACAACGCATCTGCATCTTGAGTCTTTATTGAGGATAGATGTAGATGTCTATGGGTCACAGTAACCACTTACCATCAGGTGGATTGTGTGCTCGTTTGTCACCCGATCCTATAAAAAAAATGTATGCCATGACATTTGTCGTATCTTTATTCATCTCTAAATCTTCCTCACGCTGGGAGAAACTATTGAGGTTGTTGAGCATAAATGGTACTAGATACCTCCAGGAATTCTGCCATATTGAAAAATAGAAAATATAGAGTTTCAGGGATATAAGCTCATCCGTCTTACACTTCTTTGCTATTGGATAGATTTCGTACTTTGCTTCTGTATTCGGATATATATCGTAGCCAATCTGATACCAACTGACAACCAAACAAACAAAATACCAACTGACAACCTGATATCACCAAGGAGACTGTAGCACCGCCCAAAATTCGATTGAATTGAAAGTCCTCTTATAGTCCACATAAGTTCGACATAACGGCTGACGAAACTTTTCAGTCTTACCTGACGAACCTGGTAACTTGACAAACCTAGTACTTATGTGGAGATGCGTTGTCATCCCTAAAGATTAAGATAGAATGCCGTGAATGTCGTTACTCTCTAGTTCTCCATCCAGCATTAAGTTGCTATTTTACGCTGGTATTCTGTAAGAGTATGCTTCTTCTGCGGTCGAGCCGACCCCTCGTACATAATTCAGTATCAGCGTGCCTAAACTAAGACAGGTTCTTTGCAACAAGGACTTACGCTTCCAAATTTTATTTTGTCTTGGGCTTCATTATCAAGTTGCCTTTGCAAATCGTCTGCATCATCAATCAAAGTATTAGGTCGGGAACTGGTCTGATCTTGAGTATCACCTTAAATATGTTCGTAAAAAATATAAGGCTTTATACATACTATAATTTTATACCTATTTAAAAGGTGTACTGTAAGGTTCCCATGACATCATAGTCATATTATGTAACATAATATATTAATTACTGCTATAGAAAAAATTATAGCAATTTATAAAACGATAAAGAACCAAGTGTTATATTATTCTTAACATAATCGCATTTTCTGCCGACTTCCAAAAAGGAGCCGGTACTCAATTCGACTGTATGTTTTTTTTTTTTGTTTTTTTTTTATGTGTGTTACCTCAGAACTTTTTTCTGGGTGAACCAATTTCGATGATTCTTTTTATATTTGAAAGCTGGTACTTCTCGTGTGGTCCCATATGAATTTGATCAAGGTCAAACCAATAGTTTTTAAGTTATTCTTAAATAACTTATATTGAAGTCGGCTGTACAAAATTTTTAATTTTAAATTATTTCTCTTGAAAAACTTACTTGCTTATTAAAAATATAATATTTTAATAAAACTATTATATTTCTTAATAATTATTAAATTAATGTTTTATCTGGTCGCAGAAAATAAATTAATGGAATAATTTCCAACTCAACATAGATTACAAGATAAAAATAGTCAAAATTATCTTTTCTTCTTCTACCCCTAGTTTGAAAAAAACCTTCTCTTCTAAGAATTACCAGCTAGGAAACCAACGGAAATTTCTTTTCAGAGTAACATTTTAACCGAATTATGATAGATTGATAGTTAAGTTTAAATAGTACTTGCAACTCTTATTCTTTAATTTCATTACCTTAAGTAACACTACATAAGTAATATCGAGTTGGAACGGGTGATATATCGATCATCGATAAATACTACCAATCGTATATATCGATATTTACTATCAATATTTTGTTATTCTACTTGTATCCGTAATAGGAGCCTTTGTAGCCAAGAAAACGAGCAATTCCCGCCAGGACTAACAAAATTGTCAATTTCAATTTCAAGTGCTGATTTACCAGCTGGTCAACGGTGAATAACAAACGTTGCGAGGAAACCTGCTTGCTTGATAAATTAAAAATGTTTTGAGTATCTGTGAATTTTAATATTGCAGTGTCACGCTGTGGCGTATTATGGCTGCAGCAAGGATCTCGAGTCCACATAATATTACCGGCTTGAAATAGCAACATAATTATACTGTTTCGTATGGTGAGTGACAAGAACAAAAGAGCCATTTTGCTGATAACGAGGCATCCCATGTATGACTTCGGGGATGACGTTGCATTTGCATTTTGTTTCTTTAACGCTTATAGATGTCAGTGTAAGCCACAACATCCACTTACTATCTAGGTGGACTGTGTGCTGTTGCTCGCATTCACATGGATTGAAATATCGCGGCAGACTTCAGAACAGAGGACCGTACTCAGCCTGGCATTTTACTTTAGTGCTCTTAGGCAGCGAGCCACTTATTGAGGTATTTCTTTCTTTTAATTTAATCATAAGGAAATACTTCGTACTTTCGTACATCAACCTTTCGTGTACTCATTACGAATGCAAGCCGTATGGTTCGAATGCGGGCCATGCCAAAAACAAAGGTGCGGGGTCTATCGAACGTCTCCTCCTAAGGTGGAGGCGGGAGAGCTGAATAAAGTCATGTTTTCTGCGCCTTGACTCGTGTAATCTACCATTTAATGCAATTTATGCGCACAAAAAACACAGAAACCTTAAGGAGAAAAGATTTAGAATTTATATTTCATCACCATCAAGAGTCTACTTCACGATTTATTATTCTATTTACTTACGAGTAATATCAATTTTTAAAAATTATATTTATGTCTGTATTACTAGTGAAATATTTACCTCGAGATGTAAGAGCTTGGCGCGTTAACAATAATATTAAATATAATATTATATTTCTTGTAACTACTGCATTGAACACCATAACATATTTTAATGTTAAACAAGTCGTATGTAATTGGCACAGTATATTTTTACGAAATCGTATAAAATCACAGAAATACAATAATTCTTTTAACGTAGGCTCATGTACACAGACTAACTGGCTCATGTAATTTTTTTATTTTATCGGAATATGTATACATGCCAGTATGTGATTATATACCACAGAATAATTAAAGCATACAGAACACTTTTACTCCTCACAATATGCTCTTTGCTTTGTGCATTTAAAAATCACAAATTACTTTAAATAAATTACCATCAAAGGGGAACAATATATATGTAGCTACATCCTACATAATAAATATTATGTAATCTTAATATAGATAAAGTCGAAGAGAATTTAGTAAGGCCGCTTGTGCACTACACGGTAAAATTACCGTAGGTAATTTTCATTTTTTACGTTCCAATATAGCTGAAGACTATTTTGTATGCACGATTGTATGTTCTTGTAGATGTATGTATGTCCTTTTGAAATTCCTTATTGAATTTGCCAGAATTACCACTTATTACTTAAATTAACCTGAGTTTTTCTAAATTAATTCAGTAAGTTTAAGTTATATGGCAATGTCTTATAAGTTTAAATTATAATGTGTTATATTTTTTGGTCATTTTTTTAGTCGTCTTCAAAAAAAAATTTTTCAATTTGTTCTTTAATTACTAATTCGACTGAATATTTTTTGTACGTTATGCGATATTTTTGCCAATTCTGAACCGATTTTGAAGATATTATTTTTTTATTAAATAGGCAAAACCTCAATCAAACATGACCATGAAATTTGAAGATTGTTTTATTCCTGTGGGGGGATTCATCATTATTAACAGAGGATATAAAAGACTATGTTTTTTAGACGATAATTAGGTTGTGACTTTAAGCTCTTGATGTGAATTAGTCCAATCTTAACGGACTAAAAATGAAACTTGTAATAAAAAAAATAAATAATAATATTCCATTTAGATCAAAAAACTAATATTAAGTTGACAGCGCTGGACCTCTAACAAATAATTACGTGTAGTGCATAAGCGCCCTTATTGTGTAATTATCTGAGCTAAAGTGATAATCTGAGGTAAGGTAGTACGCCGTAAAAGGCAAAACACGTGGAAACTATAATATAATTTCTGCCATCATCATACAATCAGGTTTTGCACACCCATGTTTAAACAAATTAACTTTTATTTATTATTATTGTTAAATATCTCCATTTTTGATCTCGGGTCCGTTTTGGCCCGACCACTTATTAGACTTACGTGAGAACGTGGGTCCAATACGCAGAGGTCTTTTGGAGAATTTTACTATACTTTGTAATGTGGCGTTTGTTCTAAGGCTCTCTCCATATTAAAAATTTATTCGAGGAAGAGACCCAGACTTACACAATCTATTGGCAACAAAGGAAAAAAAACTGAAATATTGAGCTATGAGGTTAGGATGCTCGATGGGTAATATAGGGCCATTGAGGAGAGACTTGAGACATCTGCTGTTATCGAGTCTCGATAGATATAAAAGGTGGTGACTCGCTGCTTATTAAATTTCCATCTTACACTACAATAAATAAAATTATTAACTGACTGCGAGCCGCGACACTGGTGTAAATAATCTTCAATATAAGTTATTAAGAATAACTCAATAACTATTGGTCTGACCTTGATCATATGGGACCACACGAGAATTACAGCTTTCAAAAAAAAAAGAATCATTGAAATCGGTTCGCCCAGTAAAAAGTTATGAGGTAAAAAAAAAAACATACAGTCGAATTGAGTACCGTCCCCTTGTTGGAAGTCGGCAGCTGTACGGAAAAAAGCCCTCCGGGCTCTTTGAATAAAAAAATAACAGAACTACTTCCAGTAAATCACTTTAAACCTCTTCAAACATATTAATTACCATAGGTAATGCTAAGACGTATTGATTAACTACTCTTTGGGTCACAGACTAACTTACGTTATTATTAGTGATTATATTCTCTTTGGTTATTATGTTCATGATATTCATGCTTTAATAATTCAGTTTTTGAACTGAAAACTTTACGTGCTTTTTACGTGGTAGAGCCATGCTGCACCTATACAGCTATACAGCGTACAGTTGTAGCTCGAATGGGTCGACTCGACCGGGAAAGGACCACTCTCTTACAGAATACCAGCGTAAAATAGCAGCTTAACACTGCTGTGTTTCGTATGGTGAGTGTAGAGAACCGGAGACCCTTTTTACTGGAAAAGAGGCATTCCATCTTAGTCCTCACGGGTGACAACGCATCTGCATTTTGATTCTTTATTCAGGATAGATATAGATGTCTATGGGTCACAGCTATCACTTACCATCAGGTGGACTGTGCGCTCGTTTGTCACCCGATCCTATAAAAAAAAACTGAAAACTTCTTTAGAATCGTTAAGATTTTAAACGCGATTAAACGAAAAAGCGGCACTAAATAGAGACAAATCTATGTCTGCGAGAGAATGAGATAGAATACAGTATACTGTGTTTATGATAAATTTATTTATATTTTAATTACATAAGCCCTGCAATTATATTACTCCTGATACTCTCTATTTGTCTCATTCTTTTTTTTTTTGTATTGAGACCCAGACTTATGGGGCGATAGAGGGAAATGAAAGAGAAAATATGGAGCGGCATTTTCCCGATACCAACCCACATGCCAAGCGTTGCATCTATGAGACAATCTACGGGGTAGGCTTATTTCCAGCAGTGGACGTTTGATAGGGTGTAATGAAAACTATATTGAAATACGATACTTCACGAAGCAAACCACTAAAAACTTATGTATAAAAGAAATAGTTTTCGTAAACGTAATGTTATAGTATCTGAAGCCAAACGTGATAGAAAACCCATGTATACTTCCAAACTTGTCTTAAATTTTAAAAGTGACAATATAAGACAAGTTTGAAATACTAAATAGTCCGGGCATTTTAAAAGCTGAACGTAGTCGAGATAATTGTGATATTGGGACATCAAAATCCTCAGCTTACTTCCGTGACACAAACGTCGGCAATTAAAAATAAATTAAATAAGTTAAATTAAATGCGATAAATTTCTTAAAATTAGTTTTATTCAATGTCAATTATATTTGTGATTATGAGGGATTTTTGCGTTTTGTTCAGGAGTTTCATAGAGATTGTTTCAGAAATCTGCCAAAAAAAACTAAAGGATGTTTAGTATTCATAACATCATATACTTTTATAATGTTTTATTTATTTCACAAAAATCATTTAAAAAGGAGACCTAGTTTTTATTATATAAAAATATCGATAAATATAATCTCGATTAACGAGATATCGATAAAATTGTCCAAAATTAATTATTTATTTAATATTAGGGATAACAACACCATATCAAAATAAACAATGTATACAAAATAGTTACACGAAGAAATTAATCAAGGCAATTACATTAATAAACACATTATCTACAACTTACCAATGTAAGTACATGTGAGCAGATAAGATGAGAGTGCAGTATCACTCTCATCTTATCTGCTTAATTAAGCAATAATAATACTACTTTTACAAATTATTATGGTTAGATAATCAAACATTTATAAATCACATACGTTGTCAGCATTGTTTGTCAAAAGTTAAATATCATGTTTGTCATCATTTAATACAATAATGAATGGCAGTGGAATCATTTTTAGGTTGCATACTTAATTTGGTTGTATAAATAATATGCTATATGACTATATTAGTCAGAATCTCTGAAGAATCTTAACACTACGCTCAATGATTTCAGTAGTCTCCCAACGGATCTTTAGACGAATAAGGACAAGACAAAATCATGTATACTGTCCATGTCACACCTACACCAGTGGTTGTAGTAAACACCACGCTCGAAAATGTATAACAAGTATACCTGGGACAAAATGTATAACTACGTAAGTCCAATGTCAATAGATGAAGCTTTATCTTTTATCTTTCTTTTTAAACACTACGCTCAATGATTTCAGGAGTGTCCCAACAGGTCTTTAGATGAATAAGGACAAGACAAAATCATGTATACTGTCCATATCACACCTATACCACTATTTGTAGTAAACACTACGCTCGAAGATAACAAGTATACCTGGGACACAATGTATGACTGCGTAAGTCCAAGGTCAATCAACGAATGCATCGTCTGTTCGGGAAATTACGACAACTTGACTAATTGACTCTTGTGCAATATGCCTCAGAGACAAAATTGTATACATACAACCATTCCGTGTTGCCAGCGATGACTTACGTAACTGAAACATCATACAGTGCGGATGGGAAAGAGCTATGCTCTGATTAACATGAACAAGGGTGTAGGCTTATTGATACTAGGCTGAAGTTGCAAGGGGCTAAGCATAAGGCTTGAACAAACGACATACGATGGCGACGAGTGGCATTTGATGAAGTGACGACGTGATGAAAAATGCTGACAGTCAAGTCCATATTTAATGACAATTAATGGGGGAGGACTCTTTTGTAATGTACGAGCAGATATGCAGGTGTAGAGAGACCAGTATTACTGCGATCTAAAAGATCTGTTGCAATCGCTGTTATGTCTATAGTTCACTGCTAAGCCCTACGTCCTCAAAGAATAGAAGGAGCTGTTTAGCTGTGAACAATTTCACTTCTTCTGGGCGAAGTAGATAGTTTCCTAGATGAGTGTTACGTTTGCGAATTAAGAGTCCGCATTTAGTCACGATATTTAAAGGCGTTTCCTCCTCTAGGGAGCAAAACCGGCACATCCTTGAGTTGCTTAGTCCCAGGATGGACATGTGCTTTTTAACACAACAGTGTCCAGTCAGGGCTCTTACCAGAATGCGCAATTTATTTTTACCTAATCCCAGGGCTTCCGAAGTGAACTTACGATCGAAAGCCTGTATCAAGGTTTTAGAATGCTTACAGCCTAGTCTGATCTGATACCAGATCATAAGTGATTGATTGTGGTAAAGATTTTCCAGGGTTAATCGGGCGAGGCTTTTTGAGATTCCACAAAATGGCTCGGGA